CCCTCCTGCTCCACCTGCTGTATTGGATGGATAGAGGACCTGAGTTAACTCCAGTTAACTCGTAAATTAAAAAGATTCTTTGCGCTGGGCTTGATGGTACATGCCTTTAATTCCAGCATTCGGGAGGCAGAGGCACACAGATCTCTGTGGGTGTGAGACCAGCCTGGTCTACAAAGTGAGTGCCAGGACAGCCTCCAAAACAATACAGAGAAACCCTGTCTCAAAAAAACAAAAACAAAAACAAAAACAAAAAGCAAAAAAAAAAATATTTGCTTTTGCATCAGATCTGGTCTCTTGGTGGTTTTGGGGATTCAGAGTCTGGGCACAACATATACACTAGTTCATCCTTCCAGGCTGATTGCTAGCAGCTAGTGGGGGTCCAGTAGGATGAACCTGTGAAAGTAAGCCGTATATTCCAACACACACACACACACACACACACACACACACACACACACACACACACACACACACCTCTTTAGTTTCAGGACACAGAAGCAGCATTGGGTTTGATTGACACATTTTCTGTCTTTAGTCTTCTTTTATGGGCTTTGATTGAATGTAGGACCTCATGGCCTTGTGAGTTTAGGCTCATATTCCATTTCTGAACCATATTCCCAATCCTAATTTTTTGGGGGGTGTTTTGGAGGCAGGGTTTCTCTGTGGCTTTGGTGGCTGTCCTGGAACTCACTCTAGTAGACCAGGTTGGTCTTGAACTCACAGAGATCCGCCTGCCTCTGCCTCCCGAGTGCTGGGATTAAAGTACACCACCACTGGCTGGCTCCCAATCCCATTTTTTTTTTTGGTTTGGTTTTTCGAGACAGGATTTCTCTGTATTGTTTTGGAGGCTGTCCTGGAACTCGCTCTGTAGACCAGGCTGGCCTGGAACTCACAAAGATCCTCCTGCCTCTGCCTCCCGAGTGCTGGGATTAAAGGCGAGCGCCACCAACGCCCGGCTCCCAATCCCATTTTTATCTGTTTTAAATTTCATGAATTTCCCTATTTGCTTATTTTTGGGACAGGTTCACTCTGTAGCCCAGGAGGGCTAAGAACTTATGTTGTGCCCGGACTCTGAACTCCCCCAAACCACCAAAGACCAGATCCGATGCAAAAGCAAACAGTCTTTTTAATTTACAAGTTAACTGGAGTTAACCCAGGTCCTCTATCTATCCAACACAGCGGGTAGAGCAGGAGGGACCCCAAGCAGCAGAAGGGCAGTGTTGTGCCAGGTTTGCAGAATCCCAGAGACTAACCCAAGGAGTCTACGCTTCTGATGCAAAAGCAAAAGATTTCTTTTTATTGTTCAAACTGGTCAGCTTGGATCCCTTTCCATGGTGGAGGAAATGAGATGCCAGCCAAAAAGAGAAACTTTTAAAGGGAAAAAGGGGAGGAGAAGTCCTGAGACCACAAGTCTCAGTTTGCAAGTTTCCCATGGTTACAGAGATTACTTAGCACACAAAGTTTCCATACAAGATTATCACGAAACAAAGGGCCTTGAAGAAGGCAGTAACTGTCATCTGGTTAGGCAAAATTAATTGGCACATCTGTGGGCTAGGGCTTTATGACTGGAGCACATCCTGCAATCTAAAAGTTTTACGACCAGTAGGGCAAGAGGCTATCTGGTTCTCAGTCTTCTCAAGGCAAGGGGGTAGGTGCAGATGCTGGCACAGCTGCTCGTGGGTTTGAGCTTCTTGTCACATACTCTGTGGTAAGAGGGCTCTCTCTCTTTGTCATAGCCTAAACATTTATGTCTTTTAGTTATTAATTTTTCCATCACAGGCAGGGCATATATGGGGATAGAACAAGTCAAGTGTCTGGGGGGTCTGCTTGTTGCATAGCAACAATCTCGGGATTGTGCACCTCCTGAGGCTAGGGGAACCTGTCCTGAGTTGATTGGCCAGCTGCAACTACAGAAAGGTAGCTGCACCTAGAGGCCCTCCCAGGGCAGTTGCTATGCCCTGCATTCCACTATTATCAGTAAAGCATATCCAGAGCCTGCCAACTAACTTCTGATTGGTTCCTTACCATATGGAGGGTGTCTGGTGGTTGCTTCCTAGTGATTAGGGCAAGGTTGAGGGCCCAGCACATGCTGCTGAGTCAGGGGCCTACATCTTGCTGGGTCCTTTCTGCAGCCTGTCATAGCTGCCGAAGCTGGGGGCTGGGTAAGGGTCTGCGCCCTTCACTCACTCTTTAGCTTAGATTGCTTTCAAATTGACAACAATCCTTCTTCTTTAGCCTTCCAACCAGTCTTGATACTACCAGTGTCAACTATCACACCTAGAAAATTTCATTCATTTTTGTCCTTATTTCTTTCTGCTTTCTTTTGATTAATGTAATGTCTAAGCTCATTAGATTTGAGACTTTGTGTTGGTCTTTCTTTGGACCACTACTGTGACTTATTAATTATGAAAGCTTGGCCTTAGTTTAAGCTTGTTTCCAACTAGCTCTTTTTTTTTTTTTTTTTTTTTTTTGGTTTTTCGAGACAGGGTTTCCCTGTGGCTTTGGAGGCTGTCCTGGAACTCGCTTGGTAGACCAGGCTGGTCTCGAACTCACAGTGATCCGCCTGCCTCTGCCTCCCGAGTGCTGGGATTAAAGGCGTGTGCCACCAACGCCCGGCCCAACTAGCTCTTAAAACTTAAATTAACTCATTTATATTAATCTATATTTTGTCACATGGCTCATTTCCTCTCCTCAGTGCCATGAGTCCCACTGCCTTAATGTCTGGCTGGCGAATCTAACCCTCTTCTTTCCAGAGCTCCTATCTCCTCCTGGAAGTTCCAGCTATCCTCTCCCACCTATCTATTGGCTGTATGTTCTTCATTAAACAAGTCAGAAGGTGCCTTGGCTGAGACACATCGTCATAGTGTACAAAAAGATTATCCCACACAATGCATTGGTGGCACATGCCTTTAATCCCAGCACTCGGGAGGCAGAGGCAGGAGGATCTCTGTGAGTTCGAGGCCAGCCTGGTCTACAGAGCGAGTTCCAGGACAGCCTCCAAAACAATACAGAGAAACCTGTCTCGAAAAACCAAAAAAAGAAAAAAGAAAAAGAAAAGAAAGAAAGAAAGAGGAGGGCAGAAAGACTGGAAGGGAATATACTCAAAGTACTTTTGTTTCGAACAGGTAAACGAATTTTGCCCTAAGTACTGTCATTTTGACTTCAGACTCCATTTTACCTGCAGGGGAAAATAAAGTTCAAGTTCCCAAACTCTGGGGGAGCTAGGGACTTCCCAGTAACTGACCAACTCCTCCTTAATAGAAATAGCCTCTTATACATTTTTAGTTCTCTAGAAACATGATGACTATTCCTAACAACTAAAAGAACAAATGAATCTGATTAGCTGGACGGAAAAGCTTGCATTGTTTATGTCGGTTGACAATGATGGAACACTCAAGGAAAGCCTCTAATTTTTGAATTCTAATTGGTGAAATATTGTTTAGCTTGGCACTGATGTTTGTGATTTTTTTTATTCTTTTTTTTTTTTTGAGACAGGGTTTCTCTCTATTGTTTTGGAGGCTGTCCTGGAACTAGCTCTTGTAGACCAGGCTGGTCTCGAACTCACAGGGATCCATCTGCCTCTGCCTCTCCAGTGCTGGGATTAAAGGTGTGTGCCACCACCGCCTGGCTATATTACAAATCTTATTGCATTTCCACTCTCTTAATTGTGTGTCACTATTTTTTAAATTTGTTTGCCTGCCTTTGTATATTCCTGCTATGCTATTTTTTGTCAGCCTTTTACTTTAGAGTTTGTATTTGTGTTCTATCATGAACTATTTTTCCTCTTTATTCTCAGGTTAATTTGCTATTAGAGTTGTGCTTTTTTGTTTGTTTGTTTTCAAAGAGTTGTACTTTTTACATTTGACTAGAATTCTTTTGCATGAGTAAAAGATTCAAAGTCACTGTTTTTGCTAGATGTAATGGTGTGAGCCTTGTGACCCCTGCAATTAGGAGGTTGAGGCAGGAGGATCAAGGAGAATCAGCACAGCCTGAACTAGGTAGGTATGTAGTAAGACCCTGTCTAAAAAGAAAGTTCCCAACCAAAAGAAAAAAAGAAAAGAAAAGGCAAGCCAGGCTGTAGTGGCCCATGTCTTTAATCCCAGTACTTGTCAGGCAGAGGCAGGTGGATCTCTGCAATTTGGGGCCAATCTGGTCTACGAAGAGAGTTCCCTGGACAGCCAGGGCTACATAGAGAAACCCTGTCTTGAAAAACCAAAAAAAAAAAAAAAAAAAAAAAAAGTTTCACTCCCCCAGTCCCCCAGTGGATAGACCTAGTACTATTGACAGAATAGTAGGTTCCTAGTTGTGTTAATTGTGGCTATTAGTTGGGAGAAAAAGTCACTACTTATGTGTAGGTCTCTTTTTAAACTGATAACTGCCCTCCCTTTTCTTTGTGCCGACATCACATCGTTCTTTATAATACTCTTGACAACTGTAGCATTTAGTTTTGCCTGTTGAGAAAGTGTTGTGTAGCCTAACCCGAAGGTGATCTTTAATTCCAGAACTCTCTCCACCTCCGAAGTGCTGGGATAACAGGAACATGCCATGACACCCAGTGTAAATTAAGTTTTTCTGAAAATCAATGGAACCCAAGTGACTACTCAGAATTTCTCTCCGGAAGGTTTAACGGAAAGGACTTGAACAGGATTTCACTCAGACCTCAAAGGTTAAACTCTACCCCTGGCGGGCGGTGCATCTCCGAAGCGCATGTGCTCCTCGAGAGTTGTGATTGGACAGAGCCAGCTGCATTACGTCAATTCCGAGGCGGGAGGATGAAGTTGATTGACCATGGTTTCTCCGTCCACTAGGTAAAGCCTGGGGATGTAGAAGTCTGTGGGTGAGGGGGAATGAGGAGATCAGTGTACTGTCTAAAGCTGAGGCGCCCGGTGCATCCGGTTCGAGTGACTCCTAATCCAGGCGAGGCAGAGCACGGTGCAAGGAGGCCGTGGGCCCTGATGGCTTCCGGTTCCCCGCGGCGCCCCACTTTGAAGGAAGCTGGGTTCTGGCGTCCGGACTGGAATGCTGGCCCGGCGTGCTCATCGCCGAGGTCGCTGGGTCTGCTTGTGTGTGTGTCGGGGTCCGCGAAGGGCACCTGCGCCTGGAACGCTCTAGCTCACGTGCGCACAGCTCCTGCGGCGTGTGCGGATGCGTGACCCAGAGCTGGAGCGCCCGGGCCCGTGACACCCCATCCCCGGCATGGTTAGTACTAACAAAGAAGATCTAGGTTTTCGGGAAGGGCGGGCAAGATACTGATCCTGGAACATCCACCGGAATAGCTTTCTTAGATTAGACACTCCTTCAGCCCTAGCTCTGCCGCTTAGTGGGTGCAACTTTCAGCGACCGTTTCTTCAGTTAAAACTTTAGGAATACGGCAGTAGTGAAGTGTAGATGAGATTTCGCTTGCAAGCTAGTGGCTTACTGCACGTAGCAGGTACACATGATACACATAAAACTCTCTTCAGTTCATAAGCCTTCAGTATAGTGGTTTGAGAGTGGATACACATTCCCCTCCACACGAACACGACCTTGCACTATCTCTCAGGTTATCAAATTTTGTTATTTTTGTCTTTGTGCAATATTTTATTAAGTGTCTTTATATGGCAACATTCAGCCTCTAGATGCAGCTGCCAAGACCCTGTAGGCACTGACTGCGGCATGGCAGGTGACTCTGGCTTCCTTTGTCCTGAGATGGGGGTAGGGTGGGCAGGATCTCATCTGTAGCTTCCAGGATGGTCAGACAACGGCTTCTTATGACTGATCTTACCACTTGGGTCCCAGGGCAGCATGGTCTTTTACTTCGAAGTCCAGCACACCCTGCCTGAGCAACACATGGTGCAGGCGGTGTCAGTATAGTAGTTAACAGGGTGGGCCTCTACTGTGAATATCCACAAGCTTCATGGACTTGGCCCTCTGTCCTCAGAGCTTCCCGGACACCACAGCCTGGAAGCCCTTGGCCCCACTCTCCAGATGAACCCTAGCACACCATAGCAGGCCCTTGGAACAGCAAAGCCCTCCTAGAAGTTTAACCTAGAGGTTCCAGGTGGGTATCTTTGTGCCTCAAATGTACATGTCCATGCTACTTTTGGTGGAATTGCCTGTAAGGGCTTTTCCATCTTTTAACTCTGTAGGGGTGGAGGAAAACTCTAGAGAAGTGGCAGGTGGAGAGGGATCCCTTAGGGATACAGTTTAACTAGCCATCAAGATCTACTTGTTTTAGAAGAGAGGGGAAGGGAAGCACCCACCATGGATGTTATCGAAGATAGAAACCCATGGTCCTCATCGAAGCAGAGTAAAGCCAGTGGTATTGCCAGGTTTCACAGGTCGTGACATTTCTATGAGGATAGGTTGTTCCGTTCTGACACCAGGCAGCACTCAGTAGTTCTTGATGAGTACTGAATTAATGTTTACTGCAGCAGCTCCGCCTGCAGTAGGAGGAAAAAGAAAGGAACTAAGCTATTTTTCCTCTAGAAAACACCTGAAGGGTGTTCCCTGGATCCTGATCTTAAGCACTCTGACACTGGTGTGGGGACACGAAGTGTCTTTCTGGATACTGCTTCTCAGGCACAAGCTATGGAGGAGTGGGCGCTTTTATTCCTTTTTATTTTTTTAAGTTTTTTTTTTAAAGATTATACTTTTGGGGGTAGGGCTGGAGAGGGGGCTCAGTGCCTAAGAATACTGACTGCCCTTTTGAGTTCAGTTCTTAGCACCTTTATTGGCCGCTCACAACTGCCTGTAACTATAGCTCCAGGGGATCTGGTGTTTAGTTTTTAAACTCTTTGTATATTCTCTACACTAATCCTCAGTCAGATGTATAGATGGCAGAGATTTTCTCCTATTCTGTAGGCTGCCTCTTCACACAATTAACAGTTTCCTTTGTACAGGAGGGTTTTTCACTTTATTAGGTCTTACTTGTTGCTTGTTGCCCGTGTTACCTGAGTGTCTAGAATCCAAGTAAGAAAGTCATACGTGTGCCTATATCTTTTTTTTTTTTTTTTTTTTTTTTTTTTTTGGTTTTTCGAGACAGGGTTTCTCTGTATTGTTTTGGAGGCTGTCCTGGAACTCGCTTTGTAGACCAGGCTGGCCTCGAACTCACAGAGATCCACCTGCCTCTGCCTCCCAAGTGCTGGGGTGTGCCTATATCTTTAAGTGTTCACCCAACTTTAAATTAAGGTCTTTGATCCGTTTGGAGTTGATTTTTGCAAGTTAAGAGACAAAGATCAATTTTCATTTGCTTGTCTAAATGTAGACATACAGTTTTCCCAGCACTATGCTTTTTCTTTCTTTTTAGGGGGTAGGGGGCAGGGTTTGAGTCACCATTTCCCTGTAACAGCCCTGGCTGTTCTGGAACTTATAGATCAGGTGGACCTCCGATTCAGAGAGCCACCTACCTGTCTCTGCTGGGATTAAAGGAGGTGAGCTCTGCCGCCTGATGATTTACAATTTTTTTAAAAAGTATTTATTTTATGTGTATATGTTTGTACCTGAGTATATGTATGTAACCCACTTGCATTCAAGAGCCTGTTGGGGTCAGAAGAGATCATAAAATCCTCTGGAATTAGAATTGTGAGCATCATGTGGTTACTGGGAACTGAACCTCGGGCCTCTGCAAGAGCAGTCAGTGCTCTTAACGCCTGAACCATCTCTCAGCCCCTGATTTGTAGCCTTATTCCAGTATAATCAGATAGAATACAAGGCATCATTTCAGTTTTCCTCCATTTATTGAGACTTGCTTTGTGTCTAGTAAGTGATAGATTTTAGAGAAAGGACCATGAGCTACTGAGAAAAATTGTGTATTGTGTTTTTGTATAATGTTTTATAGATCTCTGTTAGGTTCATTTGAGCTCTGTTAGGTGCCATTTAATTATAGTTAATGGTTTTCTTTTGGGTCTGGTTAATCTGTCTAATGATGAGAGTGGAGGTTTTGAAGACACTGTTTAGTGTTGAGATTAATCAGTCGTTTTATATATACCCAGATTCATCTCCCCTTCTTCTCTCTGCCCAGAAGTCCTGCTTAACCTTCCTGCTTAGCTATTGGTTGTTCAGCTCTTTTAAACCATTCAGTCAGAAGGTGCCTTGGCAAAGACGCATCTTCACAGTGTGCAAAAAGATTATTCTACAACAACCCCCAGTGACACATTTCTTCCAACAAGGCCACACTTCCTAATCCTTTCAATTAGTGCCATTCCCTAGTGACCAAGTATTCAAATCTATGAGCCTATGGGGGTCATTCTTTTTGTTTTGTTTTGTTTTTTGTTTTTTGTTTTACGAGACAGGGTTTCTCTGTATTGTTTTGGAGGCTGTCGGACCAGCCCGGCCTCGAACTCACAGAGATCCGCCTGCTCTGCCTCCCGAGTGCTGGGATTAAAGGTGTGCGCCACCACCGCCCGGCTGATGCTTTTCTTTTACACTGTGTAAGGCATCAGGCTCTCTCCTCAATGGTGGTCCAGCATAAACCCATCATGAACATGGAGTGCCAATTGCCTATAAAACAGTCATTCTTTCCTTTAGCATTATGGAGAGTAAAGAAACACCACCAGCAGCACTATGTGTACTAGTGTATTAGTTGTTGTGGTTATGAGTGGAAAAAATTAAAAAGAAGAAAGAAATTACAGTGGGATTAGTGATCAGTAACAGACTGCCATTTAGAAGAAGACATGTACACAGGAGGAATGATAGAAAAAGAGAAAAAAATGTGGGGTGGAGATATAGGAGTTTTGGTTATAAGGAGACTAAGAAGTGTAACACGAATAATAAAAGATTCAAAGTCAGATATTGGGGTACAAGTTGAAGATCAGAGAAGCAAAATAACCAGCTACTAGCTCTAAAAGGGCTGTCCTGTCTCCATGAATCCTCAGAGGCAAAAGCTCTGAATTCCCATCTCTTCCTGCCTTATACTCCTTTCTCTGCCCAGCCATATCACTCCTGTTTCCACCTCTCTGGTGCTGGGATTAAAAGTGTGTGATCCCAAGTGCTGGGATCAAAGGTGTGAGCTCTGCTACACCTCACTCTTGTGTAGGCCAGGATGGCCTTAAACTCAGAGAGATCTATCTGCCTGTCTCCTGAGTCCTGGGATTAAAGGTGTGTGCCACCACTGCCTGGCTCTATGGCTTGCTAGTATGGCTGCTGGGATTAAAGGTGTGCATCACCATTGCCTGATCCCTATGGATTGTGGCTAGCGATGCATTCTGTACCTTCAGACAAGCTTTAATAAATTATAAATAATGTATCACCACAAAGAAGAAGGGTTAAAGATACGCATGAAAATAACAGAGCAGTCTTTTCTCACAGAGGTTGAGTCACAGAGACTAGGGCAGCCAGAATGCTAGGATAGAGAGAGAAAAGAAAGATAATAGAATGCTGAAGGGAAGTTGGCATGGTGGTGGTGGTGGTGGTGGTGGTGGTGGTGGTGGTGGTGGTGGTGGTGGTGGTGGTGGTCCACGTGGTGCACACCCTTAATCCTAGCACTGGGGAAGCAGAGTCAGGCTTTATTTACAAAGCTAGTTCCAGGACAGCCAGGACTGTTACACAGAGAAACCCTGTCTCAAAAACAAACAAACAAACAAAAACAAAGCAAAAAAAACAAAACAAAACCAAAAGAATACTAAAAAAAAAAAGAAAGAATCCAACAACATCAAGGGACTATGATGGCCTGCTCCATTGACCTGGGTGTATTTTATAAACAAAAAAGAGCTGTGGAAGGAAACTAGAGCTGGGAGGAGCCTGGGTGTGAGGCCAGATACTCTACTGACTCCCTGACCTAGTAGGTGCCTTGGGCTTTCGTGCCAAAGTCAACGTGTATTCAGCGGTCAGAGGTGTCTGGAGCTGGGACCGGAGAGCTGGTGGGCTCTCTGACTTCAGATGACGAAGCAGAGCAGGTGGGCTCTAATTGCTAATGGTTAACTAGAGTTGGGACTGAAGAAAGGGCAGGCTGTCCTGTCTCTCCCTCCCCACTTCCTCTTCTCTGACTGAAGTCCTGTCGGGTCTATTACTTGAACTCATGGCTAATGCTCCTGCTTTTGCCTCGAGTGCTAGAATTACAGGTGTGCACTGCTATACCTGCCCCTGTGCAGACTTCTGGAAAACAGATACAAATTTTCAGATTTCTGTAGATAAATTCTCGTCTTTTGGAACACTGCCCGTTGGCCCAGTTTGCTTGTAATGTGGCTCGGTATTGCATGATTGCCTTCTTACAGACCTGGACCAATTCCTCTCTAAGCTCTGGAGAATTCTTAGGTCCTGTGTTGTGATTTTCAGATTTGCATGTTTAATTTTGGGTGTAGTTTCTGCTTAGATTACAATTGTTTTGTTTTTACTGATGATTTGGTTTTTAAATCATTATTTGAGTGAATAAAGGAGTCTTAGGAACAAGACTGAGAATGGTGAACTTTGACCAAAGTAATTGAAAGGATTAATATCATGGGTGACATAGTTTTTATAATATCTAAATTGCTATTCTAGAAGCCATTGCCAAAATACCTCTTGGTGGAAGAGAAAGAGAACAGCTGAGTGTGAGAGCTCATAGATGTGGCCGCCTGGCTTGAGGAACACCTTTGGCACCATTACTGCAGGTCTAGAATTCACTAGTCTTGTACAGGCAGCCTGGGAGCTCCTTGGCTCTGTCACTTCCTTATGCCAGTTCATATGACTCATTAGTGCAAGTTCAGGCCTTGCTTACTGGCAGTTAAGAGTGGCTGTGACTGGTGTGCATACTGCATGTGTAGGCGACACCTCCTCCCTTCTGGGTGGTCTGTGCTCTGGGTTTCTGTGGAGGAAGCCTTCTTTTTTTCTGATGTCTCTCCCTGTTTGCTGCTGTGGTCAAATAGTCCTGGAAAGACTCTATCCCTTTTTCCTACCAGTTGAAATCTGGAAAACTTGAGCAAAGTCTGCTCCCGACCTCCTTTTGGTTTTTGTTTTTCTTTTGGTTTTTCGAGACAGGGTTTCTCTGGGTAGCCTTGGCTGTCTTGGAACTAGCTGTGTAGACCAGGCTGTCCTCAAACTCGTAGACATCTGCCTGCCTCTGCGTCCTGAGTGACGAGTTGCCACCACTGGCAGGTTTTGTTTTGTTTTTCTTTGAAACAGGGTCTCACAGGTAGACCAGGCTGGCCTCAAGCTCACAGAGATCCTGTTGCTTTTACTGTTTACTAGGATCCCACTCCATTTTATACTGTCACTCTTGCCTTCCTAGTCCGTGATTTGGCCACATCCTGAACTAGAAGCTAATAAATAAGCATTTTGATGTAAAATGTGTGTTTTATAAATGTACTAAAGCCCTCTTGTGTGCTAGGAAACAGACTTGTCCTTTATAGAGAAAATTTGTTTCCTAATCTGTTAATTGGACTACCCAAGACAAAATTTCCTTCTACTTTTCAATGAGATTGCCCATACTCTCTTGGCTATCTTTATCCAGCTATTTCAGAGGCCAGGAAGGCCCAAGCAGCCTGGGGGCTCATTGGTGTGGTTATGTACACAGCAGTGTAGAATAGGTTGGTGGATATTTAAACATTTGAAAACTGATCGTGTCTTAGGTTTAACATTGCTGTGATGAAACAGCATGACCAAAGCAAGTTGGGAAGGAAATGGTTTATTTTATTTAGGTTTTTCAAGACAGGGTTTATCTGTGTAATACTGTCCTGGAACGCACTTTGTAGATCAGGCTGGCCTCAGACTCACTTTGTAGACCAGGCTAGTCTTGAACTCACAGAGACCCACCTGCCTCTGCCTCTCAAGTGCTGGGATTAAAGGCATTCGTCACCACCAACTGACTTGGAAAAGGGTTTATTTGGCTTACACCTCCACATTGTAGTCCATCGTTGAAGGAAGTCAGGATACACGAGTTTAGACATGGAATGCAAACTTTTTTTGTGTGTGTGAAAAATTTTGTTCTGTTTGTTAATTTAATTAAAATAAATGATTTATGCAGGTACAAAACTTAAGCTTCATTGAGCCCTACTTAGTGAGTTTCTTTCATTTGGAAAGAATGAACATTTCCCAGGTCTCTTTTAGCATCTGTTTGCTATGAAGTGACTTTCTGAGGACTGAGATTGCTCTGCATGAGGCTGCTACTGCTACTGGCAGCTGCATCCCATGAATGTGCACCCGAGGCATGCACAAAGATGGTTCACACCTGCCACACACAAAGATGGTTCACACCTGCCATGCACAAAGATGGTTCACACCTGCCACACACAAAGACGGTTCACACCTGCCACGCACAAAGACGGTTCACACCTGCCACACACAAAGATGGTTCACACCTGCCATGCACAAAGACGGTTCACACCTGCCACGCACAAAGACGGTTCACACCTGCCACACACAAAGATGGTTCACACCTGCCACACACAAAGATGGTTCACACCTGCCATGCACAAAGACGGTTCATACCTGCCACACACAAAGATGGTTCACACCTGCCACACACAAAGATGGTTCACACCTGCCACACACAAAGATGGTTCACACCTGCCATGCACAAAGATGGTTCACACCTGCCATGCACAAAGACGGTTCACACCTGCCACACACAAAGACGGTTCACACCTGCCACGCACAAAGATGGTTCACACCTGCCACACACAAAGACGGTTCACACCTGCCACACACAAAGACGGTTCACACCTGCCATGCACAAAGACGGTTCACACCTGCCATGCACAAAGATGGTTCACACCTGCCACACACAAAGACGGTTCACACCTGCCATGCACAAAGACCGTTCATCACACCTGCCATGCACAAAGACCGTTCATCACACCTGCCATGCACAAAGACGGTTCACACCTGCCATGCACAAAGATGGTTCACACCTGCCATGCACAAAGACGGTTCATCACACCTGCCATGCACAAAGACGGTTCACACCTGCCATGCACAAAGACGGTTCACACCTGCCATGCACAAAGACCGTTCATCACACCTGAGCTGTAAGTGACAGCGGGATTGTACCCACCAGGTAGATGGTTCCTCAGGGCTCTGCTCTGCTGTTGCTGCAGCACTTGTAGTGTCTATAAGTTGCTGGAACCTCTGAGTAATTCTTGATGCTTTGCCCTGGTGGCCTTCAGTGTAGCTGTGGTTCAGTTCCATGTTGTGGTTTTGAAATGGGGTTGACTCTGCTAGTTGTGGTCTTGAGGGGCCCAGGAGAGAGTGTGCAGTGGTCTCCAGTTAATAAACCTAGCAAGGCTCTGGTCCTTGTCCCAGAGGCTAAGCTCTGCTGTCCTTCCCTGAGCAAGGGCCCTACCTGTCTGTCTTCCTGTTATCTGGGAAGTGACCAGCTTCTGAGCCATTTTGGACAAGGCAGGGTCATTCCACACTGAGACTTGCCTGGTACAAGGAGCTGATTGCAGTGAGAAAAAAATTTCCCTGAGTCTTCAACTCAGTTGGGTTGAGCCCCAGTCTCTTCCCATCTATGGAAAGGCTGGAGTGGGAGCTACATAGCGTCGGCTAATCCCCGTTCTCCTGCTTTGTCCCTGATTGATATGGTTTGGTCTTCCAGGAAGTGTATGCTGAAGGAGAGGGTCATGGATTTGGTCACCCAGACGACCATCCTGCCCTTGCTGTTTGGCTGCCTGGGGATTTTCGGCCTCTTCCGGGTGCTACAGCGGATCCGCTCAAGGACCTACCTGAGGAATGCTGTGGTGGTGGTTACAGGTGCCACCTCAGGGCTTGGCAGAGGTAAGTCATGGGTCTGTGATGCCAGGAGTGGAATTGGCAGGCTTCCTGGGAATCACAGGACATGCAGAAGGGGTTGTCCATGGTCCAACTGGAAAGGAAGGATGTGTAAGCAATGAAAAATGCCTGAGCCTCAGTGAAGAGGCTGTTGCTGAGAAGCAGTGGCCTTCCTCAGCTTGGCTGGGTATTGAAAGAGGGATTTTCAGCCGGCGTTGGGAGGCAGAGGCAGGCAAATCTCTGAGTTCGACGCCAGCCTGGTCTACAGAGCAGAGTTCCAGGACAGCCTCCAAAACAATACAGAGAAACCCTGTCTCAAAAAAAAAAAAAAAAAAAAAAAAAAAAAAGGAGGGATTTTCAGAAGTGGAGAACCAGGTAAATAGGTGTGTTTATCTTTTCCTGGGTTTGGTTGATACACTGGCTTTGGGTTTCAGGGTTGACGCTAGCTTTCAGGCTTTCTCCTCTTCCCCGTTTGGGACTCAGCAGGATTAGAGTCAGGCCCATGAGGTCCCTGCTTTCCACAGCCAGGCCCTCCAGGTCAGTGCCCTTGCCCTTCAGTAATGCCTCAGGGAAGGTGTGCTGGATGAAGCCCAGCCCTTTCCTTCCCTGCAGCTCTATCAGTTGCCTCAGCAGCCCAGGCAGAGGCTTATCACAGACCTGCCACAGAGGGCGCCTGCCCTCTTTCCTCAGCCTCTGCCCTGCAAGCTCCCTGTGGCTCTAGTGCCATTCCAGGGAGGAAGGCTGAGGAACCCTGGGATTGGGTTGCAGCGCTTGCTTCAATACAGTGTGGCCTCAGCAGTGTGTTCCCAACAGGTGTGGTGGGGAGGGGTTACCAGTGCTCTCCCTGCCCTCACAGCTGAGATTCCCCACACCACGACTAGATCTAGGACTGGCAACAGCAGCTGCTGTAGTCCTTGCCATTTGCTCTTGTTGCTTCACTGGCAGTGGATCTGCTTGTTCTTATTTTTCCTTCTCCGTGTACGTACTTGATACTTGCCATCTTTGTATATAGTTTTGTATTAAGTCTAAGTCTTTTTCTTTAGACTAAAAGGGGAATTGTAGTGAGAGATCTAACTACGTACCTGTGGCGCTGATCACACCCATTTGGTTCCCCTGAGTGTGGGGAACTTAATCTGGTGCCCGGGACAGGCTCGTTCTCTTGCGCTGGTCAGGTCACAGGGAACAGCCTGGGAGGATCCTTGGAGCTGGAACCTGCGGCGATCACCCACCTCTTGTGCAATCTCCCCGAATAAACTTCACTTTACCTGTCCTGAGTCTAGTGAATCTTGATTCCCATGCAATAAACTGTAGAGCCAGGAGCCAAACCCAGGTCTGACTCCAGAGCTCGAGCCTAAAGCTGCAGCTGGGGAAGCAAGAGCCCTTCAAAGAATGTGTGGGTCATAGGATAGTCTGTGTGCACCCACAGGTGAAGCAGAGGGTGGGAAAGTTGTGGAAGGTGGATGTTCTGGAAACACAAAGGAGCAGCCAGGCCTGCAGCGTGCCAAGGGAGGTAGGGAAGGCTCTTGGGCTCGCTTGTACTCCTGATGCTATGGCTGGTACTTGTTCAAGTTCAGAGGTGCCAGGCCTCTGACCTCACCCAGCTACTATAAATAGGGTAGTCAGCAGCTGCTTCTTGGATCTCAGTGAGGAGGAGCGATTTGGGCTCATTTTTTTATTTTATTTTTGAGACCCGGTCTTACTGTGAAGCCCTAGCTGACTAAGAACCTGCTGTATAGACCAGGTTGGCCTTGAACTGGTGATGGTCCTCTGGCCTCTGCTTCCCTGGTGCTGAGATTCCCATGCCTAGCCTGAGAAGAGCAAATTTTAAAGTCCTTGCAGAGTGACAGCTGAAATGGTACAGTGCAGGGCTGGACATGTGGAATTGTAGGACATTGTCTTTTATCTGCACTTTATCTCCCAATACCAGACTGAAGGGAACAGAAAATACGATGGAAGAAACTACACCTGAGCCTATTGTGCAGTGTCCTTTTCTGTGTTCCAGTCGGTGTACTTACAGTCTGCCCATGTAACAGCTACCTCAGAGATAGACACAGGGCCACATGGTGCTGTCGGTAAATGCTGCTGTCCCTTAGCATCTGCTAGGAAGAGCATCCATGAGGTCCTGCCTACCGTGTCTGCTATCCCGAGCAAGCATTATAGAATTTAGTTTTCAGATAGACTGATTCTCAAAGTTTGTCTTCTGTTTTGTGATTTTGGCTATATGACCTTGTCCTTGTAGGACACTGACTAAACGTCCAAAGGATTTTGATGTGCTGGATGCTGACTTGGGCCAGCCTGAAACATGGCTGTCTTGATTACAGCCTAGGCACACCAGCCTAGATAACTGTTGACCTTCTGCCTCCTGATGTCAGTGAATGGAATCCTTTCAGGCTGTCCTCATTTCTGTCACTCATTACAGATTTTAACTTCCTCCCTTTTAGGCATCTCTAGGAAGCAAAGCTCACATAAAGTCTAGGAGATGCTTTTCTGGAAGCTGTCTAGACACCAGCATGATGCTCTCACTCTCACTCCACTCTCACTCTCCTCCTCACTCCACTTCCTAATGTCCCATCTCTTGGTCTGGACAGGACAAGACAGGGTGAGGAGCCCAGCAGGGCTCAAGCTTCTTACCTGCAGGATGATGTGGTAACCCGGGTGAGCGGATCTGGCTGCAGGAGCTAGTCTTTCATTAGGGCGAGCCAGTGAACAGAGTCGCTGATGTCCTTCAGAAATGGCAGCATCCTGTCATGCAGTCTGCTTTGCACCTCCTTCCAGAAGCCTGTGTGAGGGGTGCTGGACTGATGTGCTGGGGAATGCCGTGCAGGAGGCTGAAGGAACAGCTGCAGGGCACAGAGGTGCCTCTCTGTCCCATGAGCTGGTCCCTTGACAGAGCACCTCTTTTCTTTTCTTTTTTTATTTTGGTTTTTCGAGGCAGGGTTTCTCTGTGGCTTTGGAGGCTGTCCTGGAACTCACTCTGTAGACCAGGCTGGCCTCGAACTCACAGAGATCTGCCTGCCTCTGCCTCCCGAGTGCTGGGATTAAAGGTGTGCGCCACCAACGCCCGGCGTCAGAGCACCTCTTTTCTTTGTGAAGGACACTGAATTTCTTCTGCCCTCTTGGCCTGACTCTTGTGTGAGGGAAGGGTTGTTCATAACAGTGTCCAGTGCATAAACCTTTGACGCTGGCTCTTTTCAAGTAAACAAATGACAGCCCCATTCCTTGCCAACACTTTGGTGATGGCTTTCCGTGGTTGATTGCCCTGCAAGGCAGGCTTGTCCTATTCTTCTTAGCCACAGGGCCTAAGAAGCCACTTGATTGCTTGAACCTCTAAGATTGGTTCTGAGGGGCTGGAGAGATGGCTCAGAGGTTAAGAGCACTGGCTGCTCTTTCAGAGGTCATGAGTTCAATTCCCAGCAAAGATTGGTTCTGAGACTTGTGGTTACTCAGGGGTCCGTGTGTCCTGAGAAGATACATTCACAAGCATTTGCAAAACAAATTTATACATAATGACAGCTGGTTAGTTTGTAGAACACTTTTAAGAGGCAGTTTGGAAATATTAATGCACTGGCCAGGCAAGGTGAATGTATCCTAACACTTGGATAGTAGAGGCAGGAGGATCATGCGTTCAAGGCCATCCTCAGCTACATGGTGAGTTAGAAGCCCAGACTAGTCTACAGGAGACCTTGTCTCCAAACAATAGAAAGGTTAAAGTATTAAAGACAGTTATTAAAAACCTTCATATTGCTTTACCTGCAAAGTAATTACCTACTTTACCTCATTCAATCTTAGTCCCCTCTGGATTAGGTATTATTTGTATCTCACAGAAGGAGAAAGGGAGAAACAGATTGTAATGTAGGTGGATATCACAAAACCTATATGCAAAGGATGTCTAGAGTTGTACACAGACCTAGCTCAAGTTCATTCTCTGGAGCACTGGGCTCCACTCTATCCAAAAATGCAGATGTTGGGGCACGGAGAGTTAGCTAGGACATGTTTGGAGGAGGGAAACAAGGAGCAAGAGACATTCCCATTTTCCCCTACGTAATATTGCTGCCTGAACCTCTTCTCCAGCCCAGCAAGGCCTCAGGCCCAGTATGACCTTCCATGCCTCTCAGGTGCTTTAGATTCCAGTCCCTGCCTCCAGTATTTCCTAGGCACCTACCCTTTGGGGTCAGGACTCCCAAAGGGCCCCAGCTTCTCTGCTTTGATGTTCCAAAGAACTGTGGGTGTGTATCTGCCCAGCTGCATTAGTGGTCCGGGGAGCAGTGTTGATGGTGGAACACAGTCTCCAGGGACATGAGAGCTGGCACCACTTGTGAAATTGGTGGATTGAGTTTATTGGGACAGGTCTTGACCTCTGCTTAGCTTTGCTGGGCTTTATCAGTAACAAGTGAGTTGATGCTCACAGGGTTGCTCAGGGTTACATGAGACCATGTTACATGAGACAGGAAGTTCTGAGCATTATACTCATAGACTGTCCACCTTCCTGGCTTTTCTCTGCCTCATAAATGTGTCACACCTCTGGATGGGACCCTACCTTGGACCTTACCTCTTAGCTCCACACTGGTCTACACATAACGTGTCAAGTATGTGAGAAGCAGGCATTGTGCAGGGTTGGGTGACTTTGAACTGAATTGCCTGGAGAAAAAATGGCATTGGATAATTTCAGCTGTCAGAGTTCTTTTCTTTTCCCTTAGAATGTGCCAGAGCCTTCCACGCTGCAGGGGCTAAGCTGGTGCTCTGTGGTCGAAATGTGAAAGCCCTTGAAGCACTCATCAGTGAACTTGCTGGTTCTTGTACCTCCCAGGTGAGCCTACAGCAAGGGTTCTGTGGGGAAGGAAGGACTGCCATGGGCCACAGTAGCCCCTCTAGGACTGCTGAGCTACAGGCATCTATCCGTCCATGTGACCACACTGTACTAGAAGGTGGCAGGCTCCAAGCAGCTGAGAACTGTCCCCATTTTATACCTGACATAGCCATCAGCTGCCAGCCACCACTGCCTAGGCTAAGAGCTAGGGAAGTCCCTGCCATACTCATCTAGTAGGGTGCTGGCTGGAGAAGTGATGATGATTGGTTTTTTTTTTTTTTTGAGACAGGGTTTCTCTGTGGCTTTGGAGGCTGTCCTGGAACTCGTTCTTGTAGACCAGGCTGGCCTCGAACTCACAGAGATCCACCTGCCTCTGCCTCCCGAGTGCTGGGATTACAGGCGTGCGCCACCACCACCCGGCTGATGATGATTGTTTTAAAAACAATTGTCTTCCGGGCTGGAGAGATGAATTAGATGGAAGAGGGCTGCCACAACCTATAGCATTTATGCCAAGTGGACCAGTCCCAAAACTCTGAAAAGTAGGAATATTACTGTCACTCATGAAGTGCATTTTGTACTTTTTATTTGGCCAGGGACAGACACACAAACCTTACATGGTGACCTTCGACCTCACAGATCCTGGTGCTATTGCTGCTGCGGCAGTTGAGATCCTACAGTGCTTTGGCTATGTGGACATCCTCATCAATAATGCTGGGATCAGCTACCGTGGTGCCATCAGTGACACCAGAGTGGACGTGGACAGGAGGGTGATGGAGATAAACTACTTTGGCCCTGTTGCTCTGACAAAAGGTGGGTGGCATCTCGCGGTAGGAGGTATGAGTACCAGTCATTAGAATGTCTGTTAATCTTGCTTGGTTTCTTTTTAGTGAGACACTGCTTGCCCCTGTCCATTTTGCCCCTTGCAGTGGGTGTGGTCACTAGAGTCTGGGTGTTTGACCTTTTTTGGGTTCATATTTGTATTGTATCTGTTTTGTATTTGTTGGTCTTATTGATGCAGCTTTGCATTTCTGCTACACGGTACCTGCGTCCCACTGAAGGCCATATATATATATATATAATTTTTTTTTTTTTTTTTGGTTTTTCGAGACAGGGTTTCTCTGTGGCTTTGGAGGCTGTCCTGGAACTCCCTTTGTAGACCAGGCTGGCCTCGAACTCACAGAGATCCTGAAGGCCATATTTTGATGTACACAGGCTTCAGACCAGAGGGCAAACTCCCAGCAGGGCAAGGGGACTGTGCTGTTTGCATGTTCTGTTCTCTCCTCCCGGTCCTCCGGTCCTCCGGTTCTCCGTGGAAAACTATAGTGTCCTCTCCAGCAGCACCAGGCACAGTGACTGGGAGATGTTGTCTAACTTTCCACCCTGTCCCTCAGCGCTCCTGCCTTCCATGGTCAAGAGGAAGCGAGGCCACATTGTTGCCATCAGCAGCGTCCAGGGCAAGATCAGCATCCCTTTTCGATCAGCATGTAAGCACTTTTACCCTTTCTTAGAGCATTTTCTTTTTTTCTGATTATAAGAATGTGTTCATTCATTAGATTCCTACACTGTAGAAATACCCTACATGAGTAACTTCATCAAGAATGTTTTTTCTGAGTCTTGTTTTGGTTTTCTTGGGGTTTTGTTTGTTTGTTTTTTTGTTGTTAGTTTTTTTTTTTTTTGGGTTGTTGTTGTTGTTCTAGACAGGGTTTTTCTGTGTATCTGTGGAGGCTGTCCTGGAACTCACTCTGTAGAGGCTGACCTCGAACTCACAGAGATCCGTCTGCCTCTGCCTCCCAAGTGCTGGGATTAAAGGTGTGCACTGCCCCCACCTGGCTTGGTTTTTTAATTTTTTTTATGTTTTTTTTTGTTTGTTTGTTTTTTGAGACATAGTCTTTCTACTTAGGCTTGACTGTTTTGGAACTCACTATGTAGACCAGGCTGTCTTAGAACTCAGAGATCTACCTGCCTCTGCCCCAAGTGTGCACAATCACACCCAGCACTGATCAGAATGTTTTAAGCAGTCACACGCCCTAGTTTATTTATTTTGTTAATTTTTTTCACACCCTAGTTTAAATTCTAGTTTATTCCTTATCCCTTAGGTGACCTTGGGTGGGTGTCCCTCCCTCTGTATGCTTATCCTTCCTTGCAAATGGAGACAGCTCAGCCTGGCAGGCTGTTCTGAGGAAGGACCTGCAGTGGCCCTGGACTGAAACCCTTTCAGGACTTTGGGGCATATAGCTCCAATTTCTTCCTTACATAAAGTCAAATACCCGAAATAGGATTTTATTTTGCATAGTATTTCTGATTTGTTAGTCCACTAGATAAGCATATAGGTTCTTTTAAGTAGATCTGATTAAGTAAATGACTATGGCATAATTAATAGCCATTTTCATAGCCACTGGGGAATCCTCTATCCCCACCTCAGACTTTGACCTTTAGTAGTAATCTATGACAGAATATCCTTGAATATTGATATCTCTAGTTGTTCACAGGGAGAGTAAGATAAGCCCCAAGAAGGGGAAACATCAGGTAACACCCAAACATTAAAAACACCCAGTGAGGGAAGGGCTGAACTGTTTCAGGTCTTGGAAAGGACAGTGACAACACTCAATTCAATACAAAGGGTAGCTGATCATTAAACAAAAGCATTTTCTTTGTACCAGGCCTGGACCTCAGTTCTGCCCTTTGGCTGCCCGTCACTTAACTTCAGACCCTAAGCTTTCCACTGCCACTCGCAGTCACCATCATACATGCCTCCCAGCGCTGGCTCAAAGATGCAACGAGATGTACTTTGTAATTTAAAAGCAGTGCAGCCTTAGTTTCTATGGGTATTTCTCTGTTGTCCCATCTTTGTTTTAATCCTGATAGCATTGAACAGTTACCTAAGGCTGCTCAGATAATTCTGCAGAAAAACAAAACCAGAACGCCATAATGAGGAATGATTAAACAATGTTAATAATGGGTAAACTGGAGTAGAGGCTTACAGAGTATGTAATGAATTATTATTCTCCACATTTTACTTTGACTTGTTCCTACTAGCTTTCTCTAATTGTCCACTGACTATAGTAGGTATACACAGTGGTCTGGCTATCATATGGTTAACCAGATTGAGTCTGGCCAGCTTCCTAGGGAGGTAGGGTTAACCCAGTGAAGGGGGACTTCTTGGCAGTGGAGTGGGAGAAATGGCCTTATCCCCTTCTGCTGTTAGACTTCTGAGAGGTTCACAGCAGGGCATGCGCACTGAGGAATGGCACTGTGTGCCCAGAGGAGGGGCCAGCTTTAACTGGCAGCATTGTGGGCTTGGTGTGCACAGCACAGCTGAAAGCCCATGGCCTGGGAGCTCTGCAGTAACCCATCTATCAGTGTGGATCCAGAATGGTTGCTCTCCTCAGCCCTTGGGCTGCTTCCCAGAGTCACAGTCGGTCTGCTCATCCAGCCAGCGTCTCTGCTCACACTGCCCTGCTGCCTCCTGGTGCCTGCTTTGCCCTCAGCACGTTTGGCTGATGGGAACCCCTTTTGACAAGTACTAAAAACGTGTAGGATTCCAACCTAGAGGAAACAGGTTTCCTGTGGAGATGCTGGTTTATTTCCTAAGAGCCCCACTCAGGGTCTCCATGCTCCTGAGCACCTGACCCCAGACTGGGGAGCTGCTGCTGGGGAGCAGAGGGCCCTGTCTCATAAGCAGAACAGACTTGGTTCCTCCATATGGAAGCAGTCAGAAGTGCCCGAACAAAGCTTCAGTCTGCACAGCCCTCCTGGAGGGAGGCTCCCTGGGACCGTGCTCAGCAGCGACAAAGATTGGAAACAACTTGTGAAGGCTCCTGTGGGGTCCAGTTCTATCATCTGGGACCCCCCACAGGACTAGATGGACCCACTTGACAGGGCTGAATATATTTATAGGTGTGTGTATATATACACAACACATCATATATACTATTTATTTTCTGAACCATTTGAGGATGTTGAAGGCATGACAGTGCTCTATTCATATTAGCTCAGTATCTGCTAAGAGCAAGGACAAAGTCACTTGTCAGAGTCAGGATATGAACATTGCAGTAGTGTTGTAATCTCTTAAATGGAAAACCTACGCCAGCACCCTTTCTGCCTCTGTCCACACCTACAGATGCAGCCTCCAAGCATGCAACCCAGGCATTCTTTGACTGTCTGCGTGCTGAGATGGAGCAGGATAACATTGAGGTGACTGTGATAAGCCCTGGTTACATCTATACCAATCTCTCTGTAAATGCTGTTACTGCTGATGGTTCCATATATGGAGGTAGGTCTGGTTTCTCTCCTTCATCACTAAAAGCTACAGATTGGCCATAATGCAGCACTCAGCTGGCCTAAGTGATTCTTGAGCCTGAGTATTGGTCACAGATGTGGACTGCTGTGTACTTGGAATTTCCACACTGAGACCCCCTTGGCCTTTATCGTTACAAATTCAGCTTTGAGAACAGGATCCCCTATAGGTAGAGAAATGGGATAGGAAATCCTTCACCAAACTTCCCACTAACTTAGCTACAGATCCTAAGGCCCAAGGCATATTATAATTAGGACTAAGTAAATTGAACTCAGGGCTAATGGAGGTGTGGGGGCACTTGGCGTGGTATGATCGGCTCCTGCCCAGGGTGTTGGAGAAATGGTTGCTTTCAGGGACAGTGTTCAGGTGAGGCTGCATGGGTTGCAGCAGTGTCAGTCTCCAACCTACTCAGCTAGGAGCCATGCTGAGCTGACTGCAGGTGCTCATGGGTTGAGCAGCCTGACCCCTGCTTACATATACAGGGATTGGCTTCCATCTTGGGTCAGCTGGTCCATGAGTGCTGGAGCTACCTTGCTGAGCTTGAAGCATGCCTGTCACAGTCTGTGTGTCTGCTGCTGTTGCCCAGGTCCTGCAGGTCTTGCACCCATCTGAGCAAGCCTGAACCAAGACCACCCCAATCTGGGTGGCTGCTTTGCCACAGTAAAGTCTCTTCACAGAAAGCCACAGTGGTAGGAGCCAGACAGCTGCAAACCTGTTTATCTTAGAAAATGCAGCTCAAACTGTTCTCAATTTCCCATTCTCCTGTGGTGAACACACAGTAAGGACAGATTCCTGTGGGAGCTCAGGTTCTGGGTGGTGTATGCTAATGACCTCTTCTGTGCCTGCCGACTGGTTCTGCTCTGTTAGCAAGATGGATGAGTCACCAGCAAAGAGAGAACATCAGATGCTGTTACCCTACACCCTTCTAACTGTTGCAGCTGTTTGTCATCCAGCCTTTGCATGCCACTGGGAACTGGGACAGCTGTTTACTCTCAGCTCAGTGCACAGGGGTCAAGATGGTCTCTACCACCTCCTGCTGACAGACTTGTGAACCAGCCAGCCAGAGTAGATGATATACCAAGATTCTCAGGCCAGTGAAATGGCTCATGGGTAACACTTGCCACCAAGCCTGATAACCTCTCTCTCTTGTTAAGATTTATTTATTTGTATGTATATGAGTGAGTGCTGCCTTCATGCATGCCAGAAGAGGGAATCAGATCCCATTATAGATAGTTTGAGCCACCATGAGGATGTTGGGAATTGAACTCTGGAAGAGCAACCAGTGATCTTAACCTCTGAGCCATTTCTCCAGCCCTGGCAATCCTTAGATGTGGGGTGAAGTTCACTCTGAGACCTACCCATGCTGGTTTTGGATGTCTGTCACAGATCACCAAGCAGGCACACTCACTAGTTAGTTGGATTTCTTTATTCCTATTTACCTACTTTGAACCATAAAATAGTTCCTTATTTTCTCAGTGTAATCATCCCCTTCCAGGAAGAACTCTGGGAGCTGACCTCATGACTCCTCATTTATCCTTATATTCTTTTCCTTTTGTTTACTGTAGCTCTAGACAAGAACACAGCCCAGGGCAGAAGCCCTGCAGAGGTGGCCCAGGATGTCCTTGCTGCCGTGGGGAAGAAAAAAAAGGATGTGCTCTTGACTGACTTACTGCCATCCCTGGCCGTCTATCTCAGGACTCTGGCTCCTGGGATTTTCTTCAGAATTATGGCTTCTAGGGCCAAAAGAGAGCGGAAATCCAAGAACTCCTGATATTGCTCAGAGCTGCTAGCCTGGATCATCGTGATCAGACTGAGTACCACACCTTCCTTGGCTGGAATGGCTCTGCAAGGGATCCATGGCTGACACATGCTAGAGAGCTGCCGTGCACTCTAAGGTGGACAGAAGCACTTCTGTTTTCCCTGGGGGTGGGCTAGCCCTTAAGAAGTAAAATATGGAACTGTGCCGGGACTCTAAAGATATAAAATAAATGACTGAACAGTGGGTCAGAATTCTCAGTAGAACCACATGTCCTCTGAGTCCTGGACTTGCCAGGTTCCAGAAGTTCTGGAGGTTTGGGAACAAGGCATCCTAATAGCACCAACCCCAAATCTGGCTTATTTATTTTTTAAGACAGGGTTTCTCAGTATAGCCCTGGCTGTTCTGGAATCCCCTCTGTAGACCAGGCTGGCCTCGAACTAGAGATCTGCTTGCCTCTGCCTCCTGAGTGCTGGGATTAAAGGTATGCACCACCACCACTAGGTACATTTTCTGTTTTATTTTCTTTGACAGTTTGACTTTCATATCTTATATGGAGATATTTGATCTAGTTGGAATTGACTTGTGCAGGGTTAGATAAAAGATCTAGTTTCATTCTTAACTATGTGGATGCCCAGGTCTCACAGTACCATTTGTGCATTTTTGGCATCTTTGTGAAAAATGAGTTGGCTCTAACAGTGTGAGGTTTTATCTTGTCTTTTTTTTTTTAAGATTTATTTATTTATTACATATAGTGTTCTGCTAGAAGAGGGCACCAGATTGAATTGTAGATGGTTGTCAGCCACCATGTGGTTGCTGGGAATTGAACTCGGGACCTCTGGAAGAGCAGTCAGTGCTCTTAACCTCTGAGCCACCTCTCCAGTCCTTATCTGTCTTTTCTTTCTTTTTTTGTTTTTTGAGGCAGGGTTTCCCTGTATTGCTTTGTAGCCTGTCCTGGAACTGGTGCTATAGACCAGGCTGGCTTCAGACTCTGCCTCCCAAGTGCTGGGATTAAAGGCTTGTGCCACCAACGCCCAGCTATCTGTGTCAATTAATCTATGTCTGTGTTCAAACCCAATACCATGCTGTTTTTGGTACTATGACTCTAACATAACTTGAAGTCATTTATGGTGGTAACCTCCCACATTTACTTTTTGCTTAAAATTACTTTGGTTACCTAGGGTTTTTTGTGTTGGTTTTTCTAGTTTTTAATATTTTTAAGAATGGCTTTTGAATTTTGGTACAATTGCATTTAATTTATATGGTAGCCAGTTTCCTTCCTTCCTTCAGTCCCTCCCAGACTGTATCTCAGTCTGGGCTCAAATTCTGTAGCCAAGGATGGCCTTTAACTCCTAATCCTCCTGGCCCTCCCCTCAAAGTGCTGGGTTTCCATGCATGTTTCACCATGCCAATTCATGAAATTGTAAAGATCAGTCACTTATAAACGGAGCTACACCCCTAACCTAAATAGCCATTTTCATAAGAATGGAGGTCTTTTCATCTTCTAATGCCCTCAGTCGTCCCCTCCCCCCCCGGGATTAAAGGTGTGTACCACCAGTATCTGGCCAGTTTCTTTCTCTAATGTTTTTTTTTGTTGTTGTTGTTGTTTTTACGAGACAGGGTTTTTCTGTATTGTTTTGGAGGCTGTTGGTCCAGACCAGCCTCGAACTCACAGAGATCTGCCTGCCTCTGCCTCCCGAGTGCTGGGATTAAAGGCATGCACCACCAACACCCGGCTCTCTATATAATGTTTTAAAGCTTCCTTTGTAGAGGTCTTTAACCTCATCCTGAGGGAGCTTCTCAGTTCTACTTTCCTGGTGGAATCTTTAGAGTCAATGTAGAAGCATAATTTTGTAAATAAGGTAGCTTCCCACTTTATTTCTTTGCTTCTCTTATTGTTGAGCTGTTATGGGTGTTTGAACTTCACGTATGTCTATGCACTATGTACAATGCTTGCTGCCTGTGGAGGCCAGAGAATACATCAGATTTTCTGGGACTGGTGGGACTGGAATTTGGATCCCCTGGAAGAGCAGCCATCTCTTCAGTGCCTTGTACTTCTCTCTTGACCATGATAGGTAATTAAAATGGCTGCAGACAAGCCTAGGGTCAGTTTAGGAGGCTTTTAAATTCCCTGAGAGGAGAAGGAAGGTGAGTGGGTATCAGACCTGTGGCTTGGTTACCCTGACTCACACCTCGTCCCAAATGGCCCAAGTACTGTGGATGAAATGTGGATACAGACCATGGGTGACCTCCCATCTTCCACAGATGCCATCCACCCTTCTGCCAGGGAGGAATCAGCACCAGCAGCAATGTCCTGGGGGCTGCATGCAGCCTAGTTCCTGGTAGCAAACGCTATAAAGCACCCAGCATGTTCCTAGCGAACAGCAGCAGGGACACTCCCCTACATGGAAATGAGAACATCTTCTCTGACACTTGTTGGCTGGCACTCGAGAAGGGTCACATCCAGCCACCATTCTTTCCTCCCCATTAAATAAAGTGTAAGCCGTAGCAACAGAGGACAGAACATCAAACTGGTTGAGGGGGTTGGTTTGGGAGAGACTGTGGTAGGCAACTTGGAGCTGCTGAGCCCTCACAAGAGAGGGCACCAAGAATTCAAGTAGCCTGCACATTCATGAACATTCTAGCCATGTCCTTTGCTTCCCATGCCAGGTGATGACCGAAGCCTCAGGTCTGAGGGCCAGAGAACCACCAGCAAGGTTCTGTTATATAAAGCTACTCCAGCCAACCTGAGTGCCTTCTTCCTACCTGCTGTCACCCAGATGCTTGGAAGGCTCAGTCCTAGCTTGCCTTCAACTCATGCTCTCGAGTGAATTTTATTCCTGACATTTTCAGCCTAGCACCTATTGTGAGCAGCTGCCGCCACCTGAGATTGCAGTGCTTCAGCGGTCTGACTTTCTGGTCTCTGTAGGCTTCCCCCTAAAATCCCTTCTATCTAGGTGGTCAAAGCTCCGTCTCCATCTTGCTCTTTAAACACTGTTGTGGTGTCTGGGCACTAGTGCTTCTTCACCCAGTTTGTAGCCCATCCGACAGGGCAAGTAACAGGTAAGGGCTCAAGGGCAGTCACTGAACAGATGTGTAAGGGGGTGAGACACAAGTGCAAGGAGCTCCCCAGATCTGCTGGTCCATGTTTCCTGTTAACTGCCCTTTATAGAGCTCTTTGATCTTAAAGTGGTAAGTAGGTGGGCAGTTAAGACTAGACTGGTTTGAGCCAGGCGTTGGTGGCGCACGCCTTTAATCCCAGCACTCGGGAGGCAGAGGCTGGCGGCTCTCTGTGAGTTCGAGGCCAGCCTGGTCTACAGAGTGAGTTCCAGGCCAGCCTCCAAAACAATACAGAGAAACCCTGTCTCGAAAAACCAAAACCAAAAAAAAAAAAAAAGACTAGACTGGTTTGTTAAATTCATTCCATGCCCTAAAAGGGCCACACACAACTCTTACCAGGTGGGTTTCCAACAGGCGGGCCCAATAGAGAAAGCTATTGTGGAAGCACTGTGGCTATCACTAGAATGTGAGGTTCACAGGCTGCTCATCTCAGAGCCCAACCCAGGCACACCCATCCCTACCCCGCTGGGTAGGGGTCAAATTACTAAGATGGCATTTCAGAATCTGGGTTAGTCCACTCAACAAGAGTCACTTTGTTCAGTGCAGCTTGGAAAATAGGAAGGAGCTGTTTGTACCTGGTTTCTATTTTGGGCAAGGGCATCTGCTCAGCTGTAATGAGGTTCCCCAGCCCATAGTCACCCCTCACCCCATGCAATCTGATGTGCAGAAAGAACAGCCAAACCAGGTGACTGCTTGTTATAAAACCCCTCCCATGCTGTGCTTGCCCATCGGGCTCAGAACCAGCCTTCGCCACTGAGGGCTCTCACCTTGCTGAGAACTGTTCATCTGGGATTGCTTGCAGCTCTTCAGCATCCCTCGACTACCACATGCCACAGGACAACCCTGGTTACATAGCTAACATCTTATCACTGAGCACTCAAACTGAGCCCATTAGGATTTCTACAGTACTTGGTATTAAGTCAAAGGTTTCCTCCCCAAATTTTCTTATACTGTGTGGTCTTTTTAAAATCTCACCCAAACTCTGGATCTCTTCTATTACAAATGTTCCAATCACCCCTGGGAGTTCTCTAAAACAGTTGCTTCCTTTACATCCAGGTTAGGACCTCTTTCTGATGATGGGCGTCAGAACTTCCTATGGAGAAGCTATCTTGGTGATCACTGACGACCACAGAAGCATTGTGCTCCAGCCTTTGTGCAGGAGATCATTTCCACTTACTGAAAACCTTAGGAAAAAAGACACAAAGCTGGGTGCGGTGGCACATGCCTTTAATCCCAGCACTCAGGGGACAGAGACAAGGATCTCTAAGTTCCAGGCCCAGCTGGTCTAGACACCAAGTTCTAGGACAGACTGTCTCGAAAACCAAAAAAACCTCCTAGCACTTGGAAGGCAGAGGCAGGCGGATCTTTTTGAGTTCGAGGCCAGCCTGGTCTACAGAGCAAGATGTAGGACAGCCTCTAAAACAATACAGAGAAACCCTCCCTGTCTCAAAAAACAAAACAAAACAAAAAACCTGTAAGGCTCACTGCCCTAGGCAGAGGCAACTCCCACAGCTTGGGGCACTGGGGAACTCAGGGCTACATAGGAACAGCAGATTTGTTTCCTGTGCTCTTTGGAAAACGGCTTCTGGGCTTGATGTCCCTAGGTGAACCAAAGGGAGACCAAGGCCACCTTATCCTACTATATCTGGCAAACAACAGCCAAAGGGCCATGACAGAACTAGACTAGCAGGCCAGAAGCCAGTCCTATTATGTTGTGCATTCTCTCTTTGGCAGAATATCAGCTCTAGTCCACTCTGCTGTAACAAATTGCAGCAGGGTGTGTCTGTAGCACTTGTCTGCCCCACACAGCAGCAGCTGCAGGCACAGGCATAGACAGAGAGAACAGAAGTTGAAATTCTCATAATTTTAATGGTCAATAGCTTCCGGTTGGCTTCTGAATGGTATAGTTAAACAATATACTTAAGACACCCCCACAGCAAGTTCACACCCCTCAGTAAGTAGCGTTGGCTCCATCCACATTCCATTGCCCAGTCAGACTTCCACAACCTGGGACCCACTTCTGGGTTATGGAAAGAGACATCTTAGTGTAATGAGCTGAATAAACCCCTGGCATACCCATGATCTGTTATTTTTGTTTAAAAATAACAAGTATTAAACCAAACACT